GGGCTCCTTTGCCTGGCTAGGTGAGGTGTGATGAGGATGTGTTGTCTTAGAGGGGGAGAAAGAGTTGTGTCGGGGGGATAAAGGGAGATCGCTCCCTTCTCAAGCTTGCGAGAGAGTGTGACGTGAGACATGCCAGGCACCCAACCTTACGTAAGGTGCGCCAAGAGCTTAACTCCCAGATGCCCTTCTGGGGGCAAAGAGAGTGGTTTGCGGGATCGCTGAACGCCTTCCCGTTTGCTCCTTGCTGAGGTTTCATCTCCAAAGCACTGAGCTGTGCTCGAGCGGTTAGCAGCTCTTGGTGGCTCCTCACCGGGTCTGTGCAGGAGAACTCCCGGGGGGAAGGACGCCCATCGCATCAGCAAGCCTCCGCCGTCCCCTCTGCCTCCGGCACGTGTGGATGCTGACATCTCCAATGCGCCTGTGTCTGCGCTGCTGAACGTGTAACCGGCAGGAAGCGTATTTATCTGGAGATGACTGCAGGGTTATTTTCAGGGAAGTTATAAGCTCCTCGGCACAGCTGCAGGGAAGGAAGGGAAAAAAAAAAAAAAGCTGCTGGTGCTGTGCAGCGGAGCAGGGGAGCGGTTGCAGCCTTGACTGGAAGCTCTCAGCTGTGTGACATACCTTAACACCTCACATGGGGACTACCTTATGCATGGGGACGATGAGTTTGTCTCTGGACAAACAGTAGTGTTTTCACTCCGTGAGGAAATTTAGTATTCTCTTTTTTTGTAATTTTTGATTGGAATGCAAATGCTTAAAAAATTCAAAATGAGGTCATTGAAATGTTTTGCTTTGGTGGTGGCTGAATGCTACAGGAGGAAATATTACAACTTAGAGCAATCAAACCAAACAATTTACACTGACACAGCCAAACAAGAGGTGTGCAGTTCTTTTTGCAACACTATTCAAAGTCCAGTCCATGGGGAAACCTTAGAATATGTCATCTTCTCCATCCAGCTCTCTGACTACGAATGGTGTGGTTTATTTCAGAAGAAATACCCTTCAGGCTCTTTGTTTTAAAAGGAGGTTGTGACATTTGCTGTCGGTGGTAACGCAGGATGTCAGGCATTTGCCACTCAGCTGCTCCAAATAATTACACAATTCCTTAACCTCACAGAAAAAGCGGGCACGTCATCTCCAGTAAGTACCTATCTGCTGTTCTGGTTTAATTAACATCTTGCAATGTTAATATAGCAGACTGCTCGCCTCTGACACACAGAGAAGTGGTGATATATACCCTGAAATTTTAGCAGCAAAGCGATGTAGTTGTATTTAAATCTCCTCCAAAGCTCTGAATTGGGGTCAAAGCACTTAGCTTAGAGGAAAGAAAATCTGCCTCTGTAGGTGGAGATGCCCTGCCTGAACTCTAGGAAAATGTGATTGCTCTTGGATTACACACACAAGTAATTTTTCTTCTCCTATTTCAGCCTCCCATGCTTTGTCTTGCAATGAGACAAGAAGGCAAGAAACAACACAGCGATGTGTTTGGGCTCGGGTATGGTATTGGCTCTGTTGCTATGCTCAGTTTTGGATACACTAACATGTTTCTCCTAAAAGCCTTGGACCAGACCTGGTTTTACCACTGCCCTGGAAATGCCTTGGAAATAAGCAGTCCTGATGCCTCCGTTTCCAGGTGAAATTGCACAATAAAGCACCAAAGGAACTGAAGAGCAGATGTGGTTTAATTCCAATTTTATAGTGCTTTACTTAGGATGAGCAAAAGCAAAGTCCATGCATTTTTTTTTTTTTTTTTCAAGCCAGTGGATCTGATTGTCCTCCTCGTAGGAGGTTTTTTTTTCTTCTCTGAGAACAAAGGCTGAAACTCAAAGAGTAATTTTGGGTACTTCCTATAATCTACATTCTCAGACACCAAAAACCCCATCATTAACTAAGCACCCTAACGGCTTTCTGAGGTGAGGAAGTAGCAATATCCCTCTTCTTAAAAAATGGGGAACTTGAACAAATTGCTGGCGGAAGTTGGATGCAAAGATGGTGTCTACCTCAGATTGTCTCAATAGAGAGTCCTTTCTCCCGCTTCTTCTGCAGCCTCTCGGACAGCAAGAAACCTGGGCTAGACTAGAGCATCCAATGGGTCCTGCGGTTTTTAGATGCCTGGCTTGGAGGAGCTCCAGCCACCAGCTCAACAGAGCTGACACAAGGCCTTGCAATGTCTTCTTTTTGGTCGACCAAAGTGGTGACCCTGTTTTCTTTCCCTTGCAGAGTTTTAGCTGTGGTGATGAAGTGAGTGTAGAAGTGACAGTTCCTCATTTTACCTTGGAAACTGTGTTAACTGGTCAAAAATACCCATTTGGGATGTGTGATTTCAGGTTCTATTACGTGCTGTTTGTTGGCTAGCTTGGTCACAAGTGCTTGGCGGGTTTTTTGCGAGCATTGCAGGTTTGTGCCTGAACTACCTACAAAAGCAAGCGATTGTTTTTTCTCCTTGGCAGGTGGCTGAAGTGATGCAAAAACACTTGATGACCGAATAGCAGCGGTGTTAGCAATGCGAGAGTGATAGTTCTCAAGGGTGCCCGCAGGTGCTCTCCAGCAGGTCTTCTCCAGGTAGTCCTTTCTGCAGTCGTGGCTGGGTGCTGGTGATCAAGTGGGATGACGACAGGCATCTGCATCCTTCGTTCTGCACCTTGGGAGAGGAAGGAAACGTGTTGGCGACACAATGCTGCATCGTCCGCCACCAGCAGTCAGCAAGTGGTGTGGGACTAGTGGTCATTTTGCTTCAACATAAGCAGAACAGCCCTCATGAAGGTCTGTATTTGGTGAGATGTCTCTAAATATGAAGCTGTTGCTAAGGTAGCGCAGCCCACAGAGACAAGGAAGAGATGGTTTAGTTCTCCAGCTCCGATGCCCTCCGGAGTGAGATCTGTTTCCCTGTTCAGCCTCCTGCAGTTTTGCTTCTCGACACCTTCTCTAGCTGTTTTCACAATCCTTTAGATCAGGACATTGAGGACACGTCTTGCTGACATGCTGCTTGCCTGGGGAACCTGGACAAGTTCATGTTGGGTTCAAGTCCCTTTCACAGTGTTCTGCACTGATCAGTGTTGACAGGGGTGCAGGCAGCAGGTTTGGGCAGAGCAGAGGAGCAGCTCCTGAGGACACAGCCCTGGAGGAAGGAAGGAAGAAAAAGAAAAGAAGCAAGCAAAGGATTTATGAAAATCTGTAGCAAAGTACAGTGACGTTAGCAGCTGGCTTTGTCAGAGCGGCTGGGCACTCTTTTGTAGAGGTGATCGGTCTGGGAAGAGCTGGCGCGTGAACTACGGAAAGGGATAACAGTGCTGGGTTGGGTTTTTTAGTTCTTCCTAGGAGTGGAATTTGGATACTGTGTTTTGCCACAAAAGATTGGAAAGAGAAGATCAAAATGATGAGATGTCCCTATGTGAGAGGGCAGGGAAAGCTGTATTTCCAGCCTGACTTTGACACTGGCTTACAGTGTTGTCCTGGGCAGCTCACTAAACCTCCCTGGGCTTCCCTCTCTTCGTATATAATCGTTACGACGCCCATCTGCCAGGGGTAAGCCTTGGGTGGACTGTACAGATTTGCAATTATTTGAGAACCTCTTTGGGGAAATGCAGAGTAATTTTATTCTTCATCCCTTAAGTGTTAAGAAAGATCACAAAAAAATGTGTTGTGGAGGGGAACAACTTTAATAAGGAATGCCTGCAGCATCCTTTGCCATTCAGATATTTGTAATGAAACAGTCGAGATGAATGAATGGATGAGACCCACAGCCAAAAGTCGTGGGGCTGAGCTTCTCCGAGGTGGAGCTGCCGAGAGCTGAGCAAACCCCAGGTGGGGATTTCTGAAGGAGATCATCATCTTTCCTTCTGCATCACCCCACGTTTGCGTTTGGAGATGTCCCTGTCCTCCATGCGTTGTCTCTCCTCTCTCTCGTCTGACCCCGATGTCCTTTCCTCCAAACCCAGCTCTGTCCAGCCCGCTACGAGATGTTAGTGGTCCCCAAATGTCAGGCGCGGAGAGGCAGCAGAGAGGCTCTGAAGCCATCTCTGCTGTTTAGTGGAGTGAATAGAAATGGCTTTTGAAGTACCCTCCTGTCGCTCTGACTGACTCGGTGCTAAAAATCGGCCCCCTTTGGGAAACAGAAACTGCCTATCCCTGGTTTCCAAACCACACACACGCTTTGAGAGCACGCTGCTTAATGCTTTGCCATTCAGGAGAGCAGTCGGCAAACGGCAGCGGTCAGAGCCCCAGCAGCATCTCTGCCTCGTGTTAAGTAAATCTTGCGTTGCGTAAACGCGTCAGCCGAGCATCACCTCCCGCCTGTCTGTCTCCTGTCACAGAGATATTATTCCTATTCAGCTCCATGGTGTACAGCCCGCTATAGGTTATGCAGCGGTTTTGCTGATACGAGCCCGGCAGATAGCAGCATCTGATGCTGAACCAGAGCTTCAGTTCCCCAACAATTAATTCCTACCGCAGCGGCGATACGCGTGCGTCAGCCTGCGCCTTTCCCGCGCTGTTGTCGCATGCGGCTGCCCTTGGCTGGGTTTTGGTGGCTTTCTTGGCTGCTTCCCCTTGCTCACACTTCAGATAATCCTGCTCCCTGTGTGTTCTTCTCTTTCTGAGACTGCAAGTGCCCTCCAATGGGTTAGTTGTGCCTTTTTGATAGAAAAAGCACATGGCAAGCCCACGGTTGGGTTAGGAGTGAATTGATGGACTAGTTCTGCTCATGGCTTTGGGGAAGTCTCTTTCAGGCTGGATGGGTGGAGCAGAGAAAGAGCTTCAGACCCGTAATTCCCTTGATACATCTGGTATCGGTCCTGGGGGTTACAGGGCTGGTGTACGTGGATACGGGTGCCAGTGCACATGGGTGACGATGCTCAGCATGGGGCAGAGCACGTGTCCTGCCCTGGAGGGATGGGGAGGGCTTGGAGGTGGAAGGATTAGGCGGACAGTGGCGTGGCATCGCTGGCGGGCCCTGGCTGTGGCGTGACTGTTTGGGCTGTCCTGTCTGCGTCTCTGGGCAGGGACGTGGACCTGGTTGCCGCTGGGCCTGCCTGGCCGTGGGAAGGGTACGTTGGCGGGAGCACAGGCAGCGGGGACGGCTGGACCTCGCGGTGGGGAGAGGCACGCGCTCAGCTTGCGCTGGCTCTCCCGTGTGAGCGAGCCGTAAGTAACGCGTGAGGGGGGTCCCTGCAGGCTCTGGAACCGTGCCGGTTCCTGGCTGGCAGCTCGTGCCCGTTCGGGGGGCAGGGTGAGGTCTCGCGTTTTGAAATACAGCCCTGCCGCCGCACGTGCCGGTATAGAACAAAGAAACAAAGGAAAGCCCGCTGACGGCTTTAAGCATTTCCACTGCTTCCATCTGCGTCAAGGTATCAGCTTGTCTCGCGTGCCAGCCGTCGGATGTGCCGGCCGGATCTGCGACGCTCTCTGCGGTGAGCGCTCGGCGTTGGCGACGGCACGGGCTTTGCCATTGCGCTCGTTCACAGTGGACGTCAAGGGCTTTGCCTGGCGTTCAGTAAAGGTCTCTCTGAGGATCTGGAGAAAGGAATTGCTTGGGGTTCGGTCAGCCCAGACAGAAGAAATTGGTATTTTGACTATCGGCGAAGGCATCTTTGGTTCGATGGGCATTTTCCCTTCTGTTAGTGTCTTCAGCTGTTGTCGATACCACTCTTTTCTTCCCGTCTTTTCCAATCACTAAATATGTGCGTGTGCATTTTGTCTTGCTCTAGGTTTTTATTGCATGGAAGTATTTTATATTGCTTGTACCTATAGAGTCAGTGTTGAAGGATTTTTCTGCATCTTTTCATCTGTGGTTTAAATCAATCCTATATCAGGATGACAGGTGAAAAGCAGGTTGAATGAGGGATTTCTGCACACCACTGGTTCGTAGCAGGCAGGCAAAGGAGAGGCTGATTCCAGAGCCACTTCACATATAAAAAAAATAAATCAGTTACTTAGTTGAAAGTTGTTATAAAACGTATAATTTTTAACTTTAAAATCCTAGCTTCTGTGAGCCAATAACAAAAATCTAACAGGTGAAACTAAGGGAGAAAGGGAAGACTTATTCAGTGAAACTTTTGTATAATTATGTCTTAAATAAATGGAAGGTGACCATCAAACTGCCCTGTTAATATTCATAAGACTTGTATTGGACAGTTCTCGGGGTTTCTTTGTTTCGAAGCATTTAACATAACGGTGTCAATTATTAAACCTGTTGCAAGATAAGTTGGGCGTTGTGGCTGCTGCAGGAGGTGCTGGCAGTGATCAGCTGTAATTGCTTTTCTGATTTGAGGAGTTAAGATTATTAGATTCTTCTTTCTTTCTTTCTGGCTCTTTTGAGTTTTAAATAAAGCACATATATCATGAATAGTGTTCTTCATGAGCAGCAAATCCACCCACGAGGCCGATATCCAGGGAGACAAAAGAGGCCCGGCATGTCCAGCCGGGCTGCCTGGCCACGGTGCCTGGGGACTGGAGGGACCTGCTCTGAGGGGAGATGATGCCAAGCCTGAACCACAGTGTCCTGAAGTCAGTGGGAAGAACTGCAAGCGTTTTCCCCTTCTATCATGTGAAAAACGTATTTGTGGCTTGCTGTGATACAGTCATCCACCCTGAGCTGCTTTCCCCCCATGCATGCGCCCCGTTTTTAATTTTTTAGCAGCATCAATAGAGAGGGCAGATCTTGCCTGCCTTCCCCTTGCTCCAAAAGTGCTACTCAGGTAAGTAAGTTGAGCAGCACCCCTGGCACCAGGAGCTGTGGCGGGGGCTGTCCTTTGGGAGCCCGTGCAGAGTGAGCCCATGCCTTATTCCCCAAGTCTTCACCTGTACTGCTGCGCGGGATGCGCGGCAGAAATCCCCCTTTGCCTGTCACGCCGCGGTGTCAGAGCAGGGACATCTGTGAAGCTCAAGCTGTTGGAAAAGAGCAAGAGTGGAGTGAGAGGGGCAGATCTGAAGAGGAAGGCTCGTTTCGTTCATGTCTTGAGCAACTCAGCCACACACTCGGTCTGCTCGGCTTTGATGTTGAAGGTGGTCTCCTTTTCTTTATCCTACCTCTTTTTTAAATACAGTGTTTTATCCCTGGTTCTCAGCAATTGCTTTCTGCTGCAGGGTACCGAGAAGGATTTCTGTGGAAGAGAGGACGTGACAACGGGCAATTCTTAAGCCGAAAATTCGTGTTATCGGAGAGGGAAGGTGCACTGAAGTACTTCAACAAAAATGACGTGAGTACCTGGGGTTGCTGTATGTGGATGGGGGATCGCAACTGTAAGAGCATCTTCGAACAAGTCATTCCCAGGCCACCATTTTATTTATAGAATTTTACAGGGTTTTCATAGGTATTGAGTCCCTGATCACTCCAGGACAAGGGCTCTAGGTACAGCTCGGTGGTGTCTTTAGTAGGGTTTGCTTTTGGTCCACCACAGTCATGGTGAGACACCCTACCTGGCCATTTTACATGATCCTGCTCTGTTGCCCTTTAAAGTCGATAAGGCTTTTCTTAAACAACCAGCAAAGGAGTTTTTCTCAGCTCTGGCTCTGCATGGGTTTCATATTTATGGCTATCTTGCTGACGTGGGTTTCATATTTATGGCTATCTTGTGATGAAAATATCATCACCTTGCAGTGGTCGCTGGGGTCTGAAACCTTTGCGTGGCATGGCAAGCAATCCCGAGGAAAAGCCCCTGGTTTTCTGTTCCAGCATCAAGTGGTGTGGAAGCATTTGTCTTTTTCCCCAGAGCACATTTCATTTACTTTAAGTGAGAAATGGAGCTTATGACTATGGAAATTGCATTTGTGATGAACGGATAGACGCTCTACTCTTCTCTACCACGTGATGGAGGAAGCCAAGGTGTTTCTTCTGACCTTTGAGTCTCCCCTGAGCATTGCAGCTGAGAGCAGCCCAGGCTGAGCCACCAGCCAGTTTTCTGAAGTAGTTGATGTAATCATGGTGTCACGATGAGCCACGCCGTGCAGAGGAAGGGAACATCCAGCCACACTTCTCCATGCCCGGCGGCCAGCTTCGGTAGCGCTGGTGTGGTGCAATTGCATCTCACGGGCAGGAGAGAGCCAGTCATTACCGAGGGAGAAGTGAAAGTCCCAGCAGGCCCCTTTCAGTTGCTATTGACTGCTCCAGTAGTTTAAAGCTGCTTTACTTCGTTGTTGCCCATAGTCGTGGTGGGAATGGTGCTTTCTAGACGTGTCCTCTTTGCTGGGATTTCCCTGCCGTGGTCACCCGCGGCAGCTGTGTGTCCACGGCAAGTCCCCAAGTTCCCAAAGTGGCGCTTGCATGTCCATCAGCTCAGGGACTTCCGTGTTGGTGCTGAGGACCACGGCACCACTCCGTGACCTTCTGCTGGCCCCTGGCTGTGCCCTAAAGCTGCTGTTACCAAAAGCATCGTCTTTATTTTTTGGGATGTTTTATTCACCCTTGCTACTTCTCAGTACAGTCCTGAAAGGGTGGTGAACTTCTGGAGATGTTTTGCAGGAAGACAAACCATGCAACAAAGTTCAAGTGACCTGCCACAGAGCGTGCAGGTGGGATTGGTGCCTGGGAGGGCCTGATCCAGGCTCACTGTTGGGCTAACCCGCCCGAGAGGTGGGCTGTAGGGCATATATTTGTCCCTCTGGAAAGAAACTTCCCAGTTTGGAGGGCAAATGGAGGAGCAGAATCAGAAGCCAGTGGCTCATGTGAGAGGATGGGACTGGTGGGGTGTCGGCATGGTGCCCCTGCCAGCCTAGCACCCAGGTCTGATGTTGACAATGGGAATAATCCTCCATCTTCTTGAGCAAGGATGAACTGGCTGTGAGTGCTTGACATGCAGAAAGCGTCCTGGCCTGTTATGTAGCAGTCTGCATTTTTTGGTCTGGCTGGATGGTTTTCTTCCTCCTTTGATAATGCTTATCCCGGTGTAAATGCTCATCGCATCATTAGGTAACGAGGCTGATCTAGGAGTCAGGAGACAGCTGAACAGAGGCTGGGGCAGGAGGCATGGTGAAGATGCTTGTCTTCATGGCACAACATCCTATCTCGAGACCTGGCCTGTCCATCTTGCTTCTGGGCTGAAACCTTCCTCCCCTCAAGCTCCGCTGAATTTTGCGGGAGAGCAGAGCATTCTCCCAGGCCGGCAGAAAGCACTCCCTGCCGCCCGAGCAAAGCCTCTGATATCTCATCACCCGGCAGTTTTGTGGGCTGGGAGTTGGTTGTGGTTTTTTTAGTTAATGGCCTCAATCAGAAGTTTTTTCTGACCAGGTGAACTGCTTTCTGGTGTGAAAGCCAATTCTCAGGTGTTTGCTCACTCAGCTGTGTTTTCCAGGCAAAAGAACCCAAAGCAATTATGAAGATTGAACATCTAAATGCCACTTTCCAGCCTGCAAAAATTGGGAACCCACACGGACTGCAGATCACTTACTTGAAGGACAATAGCACAAGGAACATCTTTGTCTATCACGAAGATGGCAAGGTGAGAGTGTGGAGGTAAAAAGAAGCGTTGAGTTGTGGTCCTGGGGGGTTGATGTGGCAACTGTGGCACACCAGTCTCTAACTGAGCTGGGAATTTCGGGGAGTGGGATGTGGGAGGGATGGGGGTACGGGATGCACAACCAGCTTTGAGTGTATTTGCCATGTCCTTCCAAGCAGGAAGGTTGCAAACCGTGTCTTCTAAATAGTGAAATGCAAATGGGAGGAGTTGCTGCTCCTCTGCTTGCAAGGAGGCGTAGGGGCAGAGGCGTGTTTGGGGCAGGGGCTTCTCGGTGCCCGGGGAAGGAGGTGGGGTGAGCGGAGCAATGAAAGGTGAGGGGACTCGATGGAAGGACTCGCAACAGGGGAGCGGACGGGGTTGTAAGAGATCCGAGGAGCTGGTTGTTTCTCTGTCTGTCTCTATAAAATGCCAGTCTGCCTGTTTGTGTGGGGATGGATCCCCTTGCGTCGACCCCCTCGTGCCTCTGAAAGGGGGTGTCAAGAGGAGGGCTCATGCGTCTGGGGTGGTCGTGTGCACGAGGACAGCAGGACGCGGAGGCCAGGGCGGTGAGGGGGGTCCCAGCCCTCCTGGAGGGTATCAGAGGGGTCCCAGCCTGTGGGGCCACTGTGAAGAAAAGCGACAGTCACCACGCTGCCCGTGGCCCTTTGTCTGCAGACCGGTGTCCATGCAGAGAGCAGACCCGGGCAAGTTTGCAGTGGGTGCCATCTCACAGCCTTATTTTAATGTCTTTCCTCCTTTCTTCCCTCCCCCAAATATTTGGGGCTCCCCACAAAGTATCAGCAGCGCTGGTGGGGCCGCAAAATCGGAGCCGAAAGCTGTCACGTTCACATCGCGTCTACTTTCCCCTGGCTGGATGTGGTTGCTGTGTGGCAGGAGGAACCCAGTGTGTCGGGCTGGCTTAGTTAGCGGCGGCGCCCGGTTTTGTACGCGCGCAGAAATGCGCCTGTCGCCTGCGTTCGCACGTGTGCGTACGTGCACGTGTAGACGTGCGTGGCAGAGGGTCAGCCTGCCTGGCCTCTCACGCCCTGCAGCACTGTGGGATCTCACTCCGTGCGTTTGAAGGTCCCGGGGAGCTGCTCCAGCCGGGCTGCTCCCGAATTTACCCTTCCCTCCTTCCGCTCTGCCTGGTGGGATGCGCAAGTCCCACGGCACAAAGCAGGCACCGCTTGGCACCTGCTGCTGCTTTAGCACAGCAGAGTATGGCTCAGGTCGCTCTCGGGTACCTCCCTGGCCGCAATTTAAACCGAAATAAGAGGAAGAATCTCTTTCCTATGAAAGCCGCATCCCACCGTCGTGCCTGCGTCTGGTTTGCTGGGCTTCGGTGGTCCACTCAGCCCAGCTGTGACGAATGGGTCAGGGTTTTACTATTACTTGGGTTTTGGGTTTAAAATGTCGAGCTTTCTGCTGGGGGCTCGCGGAAGGAGCAGTCTCGCAAGTCTCATGTGGTCGCTCCTGCCTTCGTGTCAGCGGTTGTGCAGGACGCGCTCTGATACCATCTGATGACGCCCGGGTTGACTTTCTTTCGACCTCCCTTAAATTGACCTGCCCCTGGGGCTGAGCGAGGGCTGCGAGGCGATCACGCCCCCGGGGTAAGCTACCACCCTTTGGGAGCAGAGGCAGCCCCGGGACTCGGCTGCGGTCCCCCGCTGCCCTTTGCTCCCTCCCGCAGTCCCCCAGCAGTCCCAGGGTGTCCCCTTGTACCCCAGAGGTGCTGCCTCTCCCCGATCCGAGCACTCAAGCCCGATTTAGGCTCCTGTCTCATATATCTGGGGTTTGATCCTTCCCTGCCTCATCCTGTGCCGATCTGGCTGGCCTCCCACCAGGGCAGGATTTGTTTGGGGTTTTTTTCTGCCGAGGAGCTCGGCAGTAGCGCGGAGCGTTGGATGATGTTCTCCACTTGGCTCTGCTGCAATACCCTGGAAGCAAGCGGGATAATCCCACGTGTGCTTACTCACCCCTAAAATAGCTGGGAGAGCCCTGCCACCCCGGCGGCATTTGCTGGAGTAAGGCACCCCGAGGGATAAGAGAGGCAGACAAAGTGGGTTGCCACGCTGCCGCCCCAGAGCGTCATGGGGTGGGACGGCGTCGTGCGCCTCGGCTGGAGATGTGGTTCCTGCGCAACCTCAGCCTGGTCGCTTCGTCAGCTCCTCGGTGCGTCCTGACGGCACGCGGGAGACTGAAACCAGCCCCGGCACCCTGCTTGAAATGGGCGTATCTGGGTGCTTCCGTGATGTGAGTGTCCGGTACCAGCAGGCACCTGCAGGGACGGGGCAAGATGTGCGTTGGGCTGTGACCATCCTAAAGGGTGTTCTTGTCCCTTGCTAGCTCTTACCCACCACCAGATGTACTGAGCCAGCCGGGGTGAAGCTGGGGCACCCCTTGGAGCTGGAGACCGATCCCCTGCGTGGCGTGACTCCTCCGTGCAGACTGCCCCGTGTCCTGGAGGCACCTGAACTGGTGCTTCTTGCCAGGGATGTTCCTCCCACGGGCACAAGGCTGGAGACAGCCTTCACCTTCCCCCAAACCTCCATTTGGGCGTGGGAGGTAGGAAAGCTGCAGGAGTGGATTTCCCACGGCTCTGAGCTCCTGACTGGGGCTGAAGCTCCCTCTGCAGGACTTCTCCTGGAAGGAGCAGCTCGGAAAGCTGTGGTGGGCTGCCGCCATCCCTGGTGTTACCGTCGCCCTCGGGGTGCTCAGAGGTGGGCTGAGTCTCCAGGAAAGGCCACCCTTTGGGGTGCAAACGAAGATCTTTGGATCTTCTCTGGACAAATTAGCAAAATGCGCTTCCCCAATGCTGCTCCTGTCCTGAGCCCCACCAGGAGCTTTCAGGACTGGAAGAGGTAGCATGAGGGATTGATCATCAGCAGCGGAGTGGCTGCAGGGACTGATGAACAGGAGGTACGGTGAGAAGAAGTTGCGTTCTGATCTGGGATTGTCAGTCTGAGGCTGCCGTGGCAACGTGGGTGGCTCTGGTTGAGGATGGAGACTGGCGAGACACCAGGCGGCATGCGAGGGGGAGCCTGCGGCGGCACTGCAGCCAGGCCGGGCGCAAGCTGCGAGCCTGGAAAAGCCATTTGCCGAGGTGCCGGCAGTAGTTCGTTTTCTGTGCTTGCTCTGAGACATAAACCGGTGAAAGGTCTCTGCTAATGAGACACCTTCCTCCCTGAAAACACCGAGCAGTTTCAAGTTGGTTTAATACATCAAATACAATTTCCTCCCTCTGTGGCGTTGTTCATGATTACACACACAGAAAATTTTTAGCAACTGAGCCTTCTGGCTTTGCGTACGCAGGTACAAGTTTGTATAAAGGAAGGTGGTGGTGCCCTTCCTCCAGCAACGGATGAGCGATGCTCTAAGCAGCAATCTGTTGGAAGTCAGTGAGGGTGTCAGCCTCTGCTTTTCTGCGGGGTGAAACCCTATCTCACACCACGATCAAGGAGGAGACCCGCGTGTATATATATAAACATATATATATATATATATATAGCCATCTGGCTGGTGACTGTACGAAACATCAACGTTTTAACATTACAGCTTATTTTTCATTACCTCCAGCCTGGTTTGGTCATCATCAACTCGAGGATCCAGTTCCTCTCGCTGATCCTCTTTGTGCTGCTATCTGGGGTCTGCTTAGCTACTTAGCATAGGAAAGCGAGGGGTAAGTAAGCAAAACCTCAGTCAAGTAGGTCAGAGTTTTCCAAAACATTGTTTGTGTAGGTCCTGTTATGTGGGTTTTTTTTTCATTACGCTTGAAGTAGATTAACAAGCCAAAGCAAAGCGTTTGAACTTTCAGAGGGTGGCTAGTCACCATGTCAGAGCATTTTTGAGATACCTCCAATTCAACTCCTTAATGCTGAGATCTCCAGAATTATACGTGATAGTCTTTTCCTTTCCTCAATCACTATTAAGCATATAAAAGTTTAAATCTTACTGAAGGCCAACTTCTACTTTGATACGGTCTTTCCTACGCTACAGCAGCCTCACCTGAAAGGGTTGACTGTTTGTTTTAGTATCGTCTGGCTCATTGAACCTGTTCCCTGATGTGTGAACCGTCGCGTGTGTTGATGACAGCCGGGTAGTTCAGCATCCGTCTCGCCGCAGCTCAGCGTCTCCCTCCCAAAATGCCTTTCCTTTGCCCACGCCTTTGGAGGCAGTATTGGAGAGCCGTCACCGTGCTCGTCCCTGGAGGACTTGCAGCTCTGACTGAGAGCCTGGAGTACAAACACAAAGAGAGATTTGGGCAGTCTTTTAGCAAAACACTGACATAAGTTGCTAAGGCCTTAAAATTTGGGTGGGATTCAGGTGTTCACTGCACATCCTGCCTGCAGTCAGCTTGTGGCTGCCGGAGGGACGGGGCAGGTGGGCTGCAGCGGTGTCGAGCTGCCTTCGCAGCCCACCGGCGCGAGCCGAGCGGTGGTGCTGGGTCAGACTCGCCGCTGGGCTCGGTGTCTCAAATGCCGATGAGACGCTGGTTTTACCAGTGCCAGAGGCGTGCCGAAATCCTTCCCTCTGCAGAAGACCCCTTGGTGCTCGCTGGGGTCTGCAGAGCTCCGTGCGTGTCTTGAAGCCTGGGAGAGCGGCTGGATGTGCCCCATCCTTCGCTCGTTTGCTGCTCTCTTTTGTGTCTGTGTTTTATTATTTTTTTTTTTTAGGACTGCTGCTAAACTGCACGCTGTCGCTTGGGACAAAAGTGATGGGAGAGATGAAATGCAGCAGGATCATGTTATTTATGTGCAGACTACACCACTCACTCCGCTTTTCTTTCTCGTTATTAGGAGATAGTGGATTGGTTCAACGCCATCCGGGCAGCACGGTTTCATTACTTACAAGTGGCATTCCCTGGAGCCAGCGATGTCGATGTGAGTTTTCCTGCAGTTGTTCATTTTTTTTTTTCCTCTCTTGCTCATTTTTAGCATCTTGTTAACAAGCTGGAAGGCTTGGGGAGTGCTCCATCCTTCAGAGCGTTTTACAATTACTGGGCTGAAATTATTGTGGGGGGCTGCAGAGCCCCCGCGCAGCAGCTGTTACCAACATCCAGCCTCTGTGTGTCTGTGTGCGCGCGTGTTCCCGCTCACACCGAGAGCTGTGCGCAACTCCAGCGCTGCCGCGGGTACAAAAGCCGTACGTGTGTGTCTCAAAGCCGCTGCTATAATACAAAAGGCTGAAACAAAGGCTGGAAGGTAGACAAGATGAAGGCAAATGAGCGTCAGTGCTGTACCCACGCCTCCAGGACGAGTTTGTGTGTGCAGGTCAATGCAGCCTGGCTTATGAATCTCTGTCTCGTATTTTCCGGGTGCTGGAACGGCTAATTGCGTTATCTTTTGCTAATATAATACTAGAGGCAATATTAGGCAAGCTGGCTGGAAGCGCCTTGTGTTGCAGTTGCGCTGCAATTGGTGTGTAACGTCACCGCTTGTTGGGAGGGGTTACTCTCCGTTACCTCCTTGACTTTGTAGATTTTGAAATCTAATTGCATTACCTGCCTTCTATTAATTACCTGGGTGGTCCAGGGCTGGCTGCAGGGTGGCTCTGTCCCGCGGCCGCCCGTGCACCCCGCGCACCCCTGGAGCCAAATCCTTCCCGTCAGACCAACATCAGCTGCCCCAAACCATCCTAATCCCGGGGGAGAAGGAGGGGAGGAGAAAGAAGAACAGTCCCACGGCTGGCGATCCCTGGCATGAGGGACTTCAGACCATTTTCTGATAAGAAGTTAAACTGGGCACATCTGAAAAACCCTCAGAGCAGCCTCGTCGGTTGGCTGTAGCGCAGTCGCTGCGCAGCGTATACGTCCTGTAAGCACTTCTCCCCCTCCCCGTGTCCTCTGCTTCTGTTAAAGCTGGAGGCACATCTGAACTGAATTGCCCCCCACAGCCCCAGAGACGTTAGCAGAGTTGCCGTTTGTCCAGCAGCTGGTGAGAGGGTTTATGTGCTCCCCCCCAGCAGTTTGGGTGGGAGATAAGCTACCCATATTTTTACTTATCATCCCCTTCTCATCAGTTACTCTTTGGGGGAAAACGGGGGAGTGTAACATTTAGCGAGGTTTCATTTACAACCCTGAAATAGTGACTGACCCTTTGTAGCATTCGGCTTAGGGAAACCGCTGCGGAGAGGGGTTACGTACGCAAGGTGGCTCCATCCTGGGTGTTGCCATCATTTGCATCTAATTTGTGATTTCTTTACCTGTCAGAGAGATGACAAGGCATTAAATTTAAACAGGAGCCAGGTTAAATGCAGTAGAGAGGTATAAATTGCTCACACCGCCCCCTCTGCAGCTCCTGGGGAGCGAGACTTTCCGAAGGATGCTTCGGGGACCCAGCTCCAGCTCCAGCCTGCCTCGTGGAGGAACCTCTGTGAGCCGAGGGTGATGAGCTCCTTGCTTAGCAAAGTGTCCTCAGCCCTGTCCCAGGAGCTGAATCCTGGGGCTACGAATGCTGCAGAGCCCTTTGCTGCCTGCGGCGAAGCATCCCTGATGAAGATGCCCCGGGCTGCTGCGGAGCGGCTGTGTGATTCTTTGGGCTGTTGTATTTTGGGGTGTCTTTGCCCTGCAAGTGCACGCCTGCTCAACCAGAGCCGCTGTTGGGCAGTTAGGTGTTGCAGGAGCGCGGTTTGGCGAGCAGAGCCATTAATAACCCATTTAAATGAAAGGCAGGACCAGTGTGCGGCCAGGCTCCTCAGCCCCGTTTTTGGTGAGACTCTTCATCTTTCAAGAGCATTTCAGAGGCATCTGCAAAGATCTCGCAGCTACTGCCTTGACTTCGCTAAGCAGCGTTAAAAACCTCCCTGGCGCTGGTAGCTGCTGTCAGCAACATCTGCAGGAAGGGGAGTGCACAGGCAGCGTGTGTTAACGGGGTTTTACAGGGAAATTATACTTCAGGGCTTGCTTGAGGCTCCCGCTGTGTCTGGTGGAGGAGACGCATCGCCAGAGCTGACCGGTGGAGGGGGGTTTGACCCGAGGGCTTCTCCTGGAGGCTGTTGGCTTTGCTGGTGGAGCGCTCAGAGACGCTTTGTGTTTCTGCACCTCTTCTGAGCACCTTGGAGAAGTAGGACTGAAGCGTTTGGGCAGAGCCAGGTGGGCTCGGGGCCGGGGGCGAGCTTGGCGTGGGCTTTCCTTCCAGTGACCCCCAGCCCTGCCCTGCGCGCCCGGTGATGCCACAGCTCCCTCCACCTGACGCTGCTCTCTCTTTTCGCTCTTCTTTGGTTGCTCCAGCTGGTGCCAAAGCTTTCTAGAAACTACCTGAAGGAAGGGTACATGGAGAAAACAGGGCCAAAGGTAGGATATAAAATGTTTCTGCAATCCCTCTAAACACGAGTCTTGCTCCGTACGGGGCTCAGAAGGGTCTGCTGGTGGCACAAACCCTCCCGTGCCAGAGAGGCAAAGGCTTAACGGCATGGATGCGTTAATACACTTTCCTCACCTGGAAGCAATCGTTAAAAAGTCCAATACCACTTCACAGACCAACCGCCCCATCTCCCCTCTCGCTGCCCGTTGCTGCAGGCCCACCTGGCGTAGCTTGCCTGGACCCTGCTCTGCCAGCTTGTGGTGGCCCAGTCCCCAACTCCCCCAGCCCACCGGGCTCCTCTGAGTGCCTTGATACTCCTGGTTCGTGCCCGGGAAGCAAGGGGCTGCACTGCTTTGGTGTGTAATCTGGCACTTTTTGGATTCTTCAGCAAACAGAGGGATTCAAGAAGCGATGGTTCACCATGGATGACCGACGGCTCATGTATTTCAAAGATCCCCTGGTAAGATGAGGATGCCTGGGCTGTCTGTTGGGAATTGTCTGCAATAATAATAATGCTAATAATAGTAATAATGGTAGCAATAATCTGCAGTGAAGCTCAGGCTGGTGGGAGAGCCAAGAGGGCACTGAGCAGCCACTGCTAGGTGGATCTGCCTGGTGTCCAGTGTGCAGCAGCCCTGCGCATAGATCCTCACCAAAACCGCTCTGGAAGCCCTGTGCGCCAGCTGCAGGTGGTTTTGGATCCCTGGTGTTGGTCCTGTACTGCGGGTGCCCCTGGGAGGAGCCGGCAAGGGGCTTCGTGGGGTGGCTGGTGCTTTCGGCGTTTGGGGGCTGTGCTTTGCTCATGGGGCTTCCGGACGGTGCGGGGTGAGCCGTGTCCCGGCTGGCCGGGACGCAGAGCTCCCCGTCGCAGTTACGCCTGCCTGACGGCTCCGCTGTCTCCTAGGATGCCTTTGCTAGAGGGGAAGTTTTTATTGGGAGCAAGGAAAACAGCTACAAGGTCCTGGAAGGGCTCCCGCCGTCCACGCAGGGCAACCACTGGCAGCACGGGATAACCATCGTCACTCCGGATCGGAAATTCCTCTTCGCCTGCGAGACCGAGGACGACCAGCTGGAGTGGATTACGACTTTTCAGAAAGTTATAAGCCGGCCCATGCTGCCTCAGGAATACGCAGGTGGGTGTGCTGGCCGGGGCCGGGGGTCAGCCGCGGCCCCCTCACTTCCCATGCGTTAGAGGATGGGATGGATGGATGGGGGATGCAGCGGCATCGCTCCCTCCGCTGCGGTGTGAGCCGGGCATCCCTTTCCGGCCCCGGGGGGGATGCAAAGGTTGTCCAAGCAGAGAGGGGCTCGGGCTGGGAGGAGGGGGACAGTATCCTTCCCTCTTCATCACCGCTGGCGCGATGCTCGTGCTGCTATAAAGCTGATCCATCACCCAGCTGTAAGGATCAAGGGAGCTGCAGCGGCATCGCTCCCTCCGCTGCGGTGTGAGCCGGGCATCCCTTTCCGGCCCCGGGGGGGATGCAAAGGTTGTCCAAGCAGAGAGGGGCTCGGGCTGGGAGGAGGGGGACAGTATCCTTCCCTCTTCATCACCGCTGGCGCGATGCTCGTGCTGCTATAAAGCTGATCCATCACCCAGCTGTAAGGATCAAGGGAGCCAAGGAGCATCGTCAAG